GATAAAGCATTAATCCTCAAAATAAAAGTGCCCACATACAGTGGTTAAGCAACCGGGATAATGAGTATCCAAACACAGAAGTTCCCAGTTCTAATTATTTACACGCTGTTTAGTTTAATTTGTGTAATTTTGTTGTGTTTCACCCCCCTTCTCTGTTTGCTGCGATTTAAATGTAGAAGATTTAATAAATAAACCATTAGAATTTTTATCCTGTGGGAGTTGAACAAATAGATGAAATATACTATAGCAGAAAGATGGATGATCCGAACCCAACATTTGTGAGGTGAGAAATTACGTTATTTTACCGAATATAATAATAACTGAATAAGTTAATAGGAAAAATTAAATGTTACAGATGAGTTGCCAGACCAATATTCATCCTTTTCAGATTTTCAGTGAAAATTGCTATGTACGATTTTACACAGAAATAAACTACCCTCAACACTGGGCCTGTGTCCCAAGAGGGGGTGGGTGGGTTGGTGGATGTCAACCTGGGGATTCGGCTTACTCAGGTTCCCGAAAATCCCGACACCCGGTGCGCTTACATCCAGGGTTTAAATTAGACATCCCCTAAGCGATTAACAAACAGACGACCCCAGGCGTGGTTGCACACGTATCGTGAGGGGAAGTACTGATGGGTGTGACTTCCTTGGGGACCAGAACATCCCCAGAAGTGTTTTTTATTAATAATAATAATAAAATGTTTAGTATATTTGTGTTTATAGAATGAGTTTCACTCATAAGTTACAAGAAGAAAAATTGTAGTTAAAAATGTTTTTGATTAATTCAGGGGGAACGTAAAACTGAAAACGCCACAATAAATGTAGCCCTAAGGCATTGAATAGAACATCCGTCCAACTAAAACTTTGCTGCAATGGATAAATATGAGTTTCAAACATAAGAAAAAATTGCAAAGGATAGATTTATAAAGATATTTATGTATAAAATTGCAATATATTGTGCAAACAAAATCGTTACATATAGTTTTTTAGACTCCTAGTAAATCAGAAAAAAATATTTATTATTACATTGTCCCCAACAAGTTCTTTGGTAATTTCTATGGTAGATCCAGTTTTGGAAAAGAAAATAAGAAACAAAATTTATGTCTTGTATTTTTTCTACATTGTTTGGTATGAATTTGAAAAATTAAAATATTTCGAATTTCTGATCTTATGAGGAGTAGATGAAAAAGAAACATCTTTTTCCACAATTTCTTTGATTCAGTGAAATGGAAACCAACAGAAATGTCATTAGCTTGATATTTACATAAGATGGTATCATGCTAAAATATCCTGCACTTTTATGAAGTCAAAAATCCAGCATTAATTGGTAACTCAAGGCATAAATTTTTATCAATTTTTCTTCTTTACCTTCAAAACTGTAAAATGGGGTTTCAAAAACACAATATAAACAAAAATAGACTCAAGAATTTTTTTTCTAATTCGTGGGCTTCCTCAAAGTTTTCTTAATTTAGATCCAATGTTATTTTGGCCGTAATATCCAATGGGCTCGATGAAATATTTTGACAAAAACAGATTTCTATTCCCCTGCGTTTCATTCAACTTATAAAAAAATGTAAGAGGTGTTCGTAAAAACTTTTTAAAAATGGCTTCCATCGCACTAGACCGAAATTATGCAAAATTACTGGTTCAACCTTGTGACCTTGTAGCTTCTCTAATTTCAATTTGCACATTAGTATGCGAACAGAAAATTTATTTGTTGACATTTTAGAAATTAAAAACTTTTGCGTTCTTCTCAATACCTTTTCTATTAAAGGAGTTAACATGCAAGATTTCATTTTATAAAAAGGCAGCTAACTCTATGAACTCTATACATATTATGAAAATCTTCCGAAGAAAATGGTGCCCATATCTTCAGAGCATAGGAAGAAAGCTTTTTCATTAGAGTATTTAAGGCAACAACCTTTCTACAAAACCTTTCATCGAAAACCTCCCCCCCCCTCTCCCCTCCATTTACTCGGAAACCTCCTTCCTCTCCCCTCCATTTACTCGGAAACCTCCCCCCTCTCCCCTCCATTTACTCGGAAACCTCCCCCCCTCTCCCCTCCATTTACTCGGAAACCTCCCCCCCTCTCCCCTCCATTTACTCGGAAACCTCCTTCCTCTCCCCTCCATTTACTCGGAAACCTCCCCCCCCTCTCCACTCCATTTACTCGGAAACCCCCCTCTCCCCTCCATTTACCCAGAAACCCCCCAGACCCCTTGAAATGAAATAAATAATCATTTACTATTCACGTTTTAACCTAAACTACTTTTTTCTCAATCTATTCACTGAACTGAAAGTTACCTAATAAGCGATTTAAAATCGTATATTTTTAGGCAGGTAGTCAAAAACTCCTGTTCAAACCAGTTAATGAATCAGCTGATGGTTAGCATTCTTGCTCATTACTGTTACTCATTTTACATTTAGTTAGTTATCCTGTTCATTTCTAATTGCGACAAATTTTGATCTATGTGCATGTTTGAAAAAAAACAGAAGCTGTCGCAGAACTCAGAGGGAAATCAAGATTTAAAGTTTACAGATTTGTTCTATCTTTTAAATTATTTGTTAAAAGTTCCAAATAGTTTGCTAAATAGTTCATATTAAAAAACAAATCTTTAAATCAAACATCAAACAACGTATTATGTCGGAAACTATTGGATGAAACGATTGAGAAGCTCAGGATCGGGGGAATTTTTTCCTGAGGGTGGGGGGCTTATCCTTAACCATACTNCCCCCCCCCCTCTCCCCAAGTCTTATTTACTGTGAAAATGCGTTTTCTGATCTGGAAACAAAAGCATTGTTGCCGAAATGTGATATTTTGTACATGATTTCAGCAAAATAATTATTATTTATTTTTTATTATTTTAGGTTAAGTTAGGTTAGGATTGATTTGATTTGATTTAGGTTAGGTTAAGACAATTTCTGGGCCGAGCACTGCTGCTAGGACAGACAGTTTTCAGATAAAAATAAGCAAAAAAATAAAACAAAAATTTGAAAATTATTTTTTGTAAAAAAATTTAGTAAATCTTAAAGAATGACCTGGATCCGGATTATTTTCCAGTGCAGATCCTGGATCCAGTTCCTCATCAAAATTAAATGGATCCTATAGCCCTGGCAATCAGAGCATATTTGTTTTAGTAGGATTTCAGGCAGTGTTTAGGATCTATTTAATTTTCATGACGATCCGGATTCGGATCCTGGATCCTCGCTAGAAAAAAATGGATCTGGATCTCAGTCATTTCTTTATGACTTAATGAATTTTTTACTAAAGCAGAATTTCTAAGTTTTTGTCTTATTTTTTTCACTTATTTTTATGCTAAAAATTAAGAAATCAAGAAAATTTTTATAATCTCTCTTTTTTCAATAGTTCAGATACGGGTTTTAGGAGTAAACAAGTTTTTTTTTTGCAGTTTTTGGTTGATATTTTACCCCTTGGATCCGGATCTGTGGATCCACATAATTTTGCGGATCAGGATTCAGATCCAGGATCCAACTAAACTAAAAAGATTTAAAGTGTTGCCTTTATTATATAACTTTCAAATTTTTCAACTTTTAAACTAAAAAGTTTGAGAAATTAAACAACATATTGTACAATTCTTTATGTACTGTAAAAAATAAACATTTTGTAAAAAATAAATAATTTTTTGGTTAACTATAAAGATGTTTTGGTTAAAAATAAGTGCGCTTTTTGTTTAGAGATTTTTTTCTAAATATAAGAGATTTTTTGGTTAAATTAAAATGATTTTTTTGTTGACATTAAAAAAGTTTTTTAATATAAGAGAACTTGTGTTTGAATTAAAACGATTTTTTTAAAAGAAGCGATTTCGTACAAAATAAGCGTTTTTGTGTTAAAAATAAGCGATTTTTTGTTGAAAATAAACAATTTTGTGTTGCTTATTTGATAGTCACTAACTTCTTCTGCAATTTAAGTAATTTTTTTTGTTGAAACAAAGCAATTTTTTTAAAAAATAAGCAATTTATGTTAAGCGATTTTTTGTCGCCTAATTGGGTGCCATCCAACTTTTTCACCAGATTACCACCAGAATTTTTATTGCTTAATTACGACTTTTTAATTTAGAATGCAGCTATTTAGTCATAAAAGTATCAAATATCTAATTTTAAGATATATTTATATTCAAAGATAAACTAAAATTTTAAATTGTGTATACTTTTAAAAACAATATCTCTATTTAATAAAGACATTAAGTATTAACTGTAATCTACATTATGAATATTGTACATAACTTTTTCAAACTAAAACCAATTGGAAAAACAATTTTTGACCGAAAATTCCAGTTTTTTTAAAATTAATTATTGTTTGATTTTAATGTTTTTTTTTTTACTTTGGATTGAATCACAATGTTATAATTTTTTAACTGTTCAGAAATTTAAACTTTTACACAAACTCGGAGCTGGGCCAAACTATTTTCAAACATTTCTATAATCAATGCCGTATACCTGTTTTTTTAGAAAATTACTCTTAAAAACACATTTAAGGGTTTAAACCGAAAATTTTGGCCATTTTTAATAAATTTTGGCTCAAGATAATATTGTCAATATTTTGTTTGAAGAAAAAACTTTGTATCTATTTCATAAGTCAGACCTTTCAATTGTGATTTTTATGAGCCATTGTCTAAACAACGGAGAACAAATTATTTATATAAATTGTATACGGTGAAGCTGGGGCAAAACTAAGATCCTCAATTATATCTACAGGCGGTACACAAAATGCTTAGTTCTCATTATGAATCTTTTACCAAAGGTATCTGGAAGAAACTTTAAATGATACATTTTTTTTTTAAATTGAAATTACCTTTACACCCTACAATTGACTAGTGTTTAAATCTTTACGTTCTGATACTTAAAAAAGTTTTAAATATTCTTGTTCATAGAATAACAAGATAATTATTCAATGAAAATACATGCAATTAAAAATTAAATTGTCATAATATTTCTATAAATATAATTCCATTAAACTAAAATTTTTTATTATTTTAGCAGTGGAATGATTATTTGATTTACTTAGCATATATATTTGATGTTTTGCTTAAACATATTAAATGTGTTTTTAATTGTAGTGCTTATAGTGTTTGTACATTCTGGTAAGCATAATACTTTCTTTTTTTGCAAAAAAATAAATTACATGGATATCACAAATTTTCATCATAACTTTTCTTTTCAAGTGTTTGCAAAAAAATTGATATGAATTGAGTCACTAATTAAATTTTTTATTCACATATATTTTTGCAACCTTTTAATTTTTTATTCCATTAATACAAGATATTAGAATTATAAAATCAGAGTTTATGACAAAGACTCAGTTCCTTTTAACAAAAATTTTGAATGAAGAATTTAAATGAGTAATAGTTTTGCGTACTGTTCATTTATTCTTTTAGTATATTAATTTAATTTTAACTTTTGCGAAAATTATAAAAATTCTTTTTTAAAGTGGAGTTTTTCCATAATTTTAGCAATAATATCAGCACAAGATGATGAAGAAGCAAAAAATTTTGAACAAGCAATAACTAAGATCTTTAGCCCAAGGAACAAGGCGTTGCGGAAACGTGGTGATGTATTACTATCTTTAAACTTAATAAATGCAAAAGAACTTGTTTAAATATTAAAGTTTTTTTTTTAAAGATAATACCATAGATAAATAAATAAGCATAGATAGCTTATGTACGCAAAATCACCAGGGGGCGGAAACGTCATGTGTGTGTGTCTGTACCAAAAGAGTGTGTGTCAGTTTAAAGTACCGAAGGTGTGTACTGTAGGTTTATATAGTGCGTAAGAATCTCGGTATTTGTACAGCCTAGGAGAGTACATTTGTTTATTGTTAATTGTTTACTTAGAAATAAGTTTAATATACATGTAATATATTATTTACATATTTAAGTCAACACTGTAATGCCAAATTTTCATGCAAAGAATATAATTTGATTAAAGTTTACAATAAACTACTCGTTATTCAAGTTTAATTATAATCGACGACATTGTTCTACAATTTCCTTGACTGTAGTCATGTTGTGTGTCTGTACCAGAAGAGTGTTTGTAAGTTTACTGTAGTGGTCTGCAAAGCAGTGCGACTGGCTTTCTCTTGCAGGACCAGCACCATTTCCTTTCCCTATATTCATGTTCCCTGAAAATCACCAAGAATTGTACAGTTCGCGAACTCATACTTCTAGGGGTCAAAGTGTACTTCATTGATAAGCGGTGTGGTTTGGTGTTTTAATGGATTTCATAATTATTAAACCACTCAGGAGTGAATTTTATTTTGAGAATATCAAATCATTTCACTGAGAATATATCATATGGACGAGAATTAAAGGACATGTAAAGGACTAAACTAACTTAAATTTCTCTCTACAGAACTCATGTACACCACATGTACTCAATGAGATAAGAACAGCAAATGTTCACAACCTACCTAGTTAATCTATAAATAGGAATATCTTTAAAACATCTCTGTACTTGTATATCTTTCAAGATGAAAAATTGTATTGTTATGCGCAATCTATCTTTATCTATGGGTAATACAGTTCTGCACAGTAATCAATTTATATTTAAATAAAAACAGTTTTAAATAATTAAAAATCTTATTTTTAAAACAAAAACTTTGCTTGAAAAAAGGTTTACGCTCGAATACAATCATGAACAAGGAAGAAAAAGTTGCTGAACGCATGTGGAATATAATAAAAACACTTCCCTGCAAACAGGTCAAATTTGATTTGATTGTATTTGTTAAATTAAAAATATTGTTTTAAAATTTTTCCAGAGTACTTTTTAAAGTGTTTTAAATTGCACAGCAACAACGCGCGTCGAGAACTTTAGGGGGAAAATTAGGGGCCTAACATACTCACATTTCCTCTCCCTAAGAGGGAATTCCAATGGTGGGGGATTCCAATATAAAACACAAAATCCTAACTGGTATAGGGTTAATGACTTTTTGAAGAATATTGATAACCTTAAGGCAGTAGCCCAAAAGAGTTACGCGCAGTCAGCGAAGAATTACAAGACAGAGAGAGAGTGTTTGTTTGTAACTCCTTTAAAATTCTGCCAGAGGATCATTTTGAAAGAAAAAACTCCAAAGACGACATCAAGTGTCCTATTTGTTAATTTAATTAATCCATGATGCAGGGATGCAGCGATTTTGGAACGGATTACAAAGAATCTTTTGACGTTGTTGTTGAACTTTTTACTGGTCTGGAAACATCGAAAGAAGTTAGCCACAGTTTGGAAACATTTTCAATTTTACAATATTTGCTTTCTTTCATTGAAAAAAACGAGCAAAAAAAGGTAATACCTAATCAATTAAGATTTCATTAAAACCATATATACTAGCTGTTACAGTGAGAACCAGAAAACTGTGGAATAGGAAGACGACATTAATGCAATGATTAAATTATTTGATGCTGGTCCACAGCCAATAGTTTACCTTGTGACTTATTTAATCACTTTTTCAATCAAATGAACCTACGCTGCACAATTTCTGTGTCTAATTTACTCATTGGACTACTATTGACAACTTTAATCTTAAAGTTGTCTTCCTAATACTGAGTTTTCTGGTTCTCACTGTAGTGTATACTAGAGCTTAGTGCAAGTTAAATTGGTTCCTAGATTTTCTCCTAAAAATATGAAATTCCTAGGACTTTTTTTACTTAAACTTTGTCAAATAGCATATATAGAAAAAAACAATGTAGCAAGACAAGTGCACAAGCTACCAATAATACTTTTATTTTGGCACGACATGAAGTGTTTTAAATTTTGGACGAAATTCTAAATGTTTTTTTAATAGTTAATATAAAAATATCTAGACACTGAAGATAAATGAGATTTAAAGGCTTGGACAAGACACAGCCCCTTATAATTTTAAGTCCTTCTCTAGTACTCTTAAAAGTTCGTCCCAAACTGTATCAGTCCAGGTACCACCAGTACACTATCCAAGTTGCAGGATACAACCCAGCTGGCTCTAAATACCACACAAGGGTACAAACATAGCTATCCAACAAGTTATTATCAACTAGGATACAACCCACCTGGCTCTAAATGCCACACAAGGACACAAGCATAGCTTATCAATTTATATTGGCTATGAATATCAAAAAGTACACGATCCACACGGCTACAATCCTGTGAACTATCAACGCCACTAACACAGGGCGCAATCTTGTTAGCTATCAGTGTCAATACGGACACTAGCAATCAATTAATCAATGTCTCAAACAGGACACAATCCACACAGCTACAATCCCGTGAACTATCAACACCGCTACACTAGGCACGATCATGTTAGCTATCAATGTCAATACAGACACTAGTAATCAATTTATCAATGCCAATACTCAGGGCACAATCTTAATTCATATGTTTCAACAAACCCAAATTACTCTACACTGTAATGAAACCAGTTTTGATTCTATCTAAATGTATTTGAGAGTTTTATGCTACAAGTTAAATTTAATAAAGGTAATTACAATTCCTACTTTGTTATCTATATCACAAGATTAGGGCAATTATGTTACTTATTACCTAGTACAGTTGAAATAGGAGCATTTAGATGTGCATATGTTTAGGATTAGCGAGGATAGATATAACGTGATAAAGCTATCTCCATACATGTTTATAAGTTGAATGAACGTATTAAAAGGGGCTAATCATGCTATATATTCATTAAAACACAGTTTATATGAATAATGTTTTTTTAAATACAAAATACTATAAATTTACAGAATATTGTATTGCACAATAATTATTACAAATGGATATTTATTACACCTCTAGATTCAATGGTACTATCTTAAGAATTTGTATTTCTGGCCATTGATTCTAATTTTTCTGAGAATGAATGACATTTCTTTGTGAACCTGCATAAACATATTTTTGATAAGCAGGAATTAATAAAAAATTTTGCATACCTAAAAATACGTCTTTTTTAAAGGGAGTGTTTGCAAAAAATGAAATGGGGTATAAACTTACGGTAAAAAATAATCGCTTTTTATCGCTTCTAATGTTACTTCAATCTAGAAGGAGAAAATTTTTAAAAACGACTTCTACTGAACACAGAGTCCATAAAAAATCCGAAAGTTGCAATAACGACTCGGATCGTAAAAAAATCAATCTAAATTCAATCAAATCATTCAGATCGTTCAACCTATAGTAATCAATTATTTTTCGTATAAAGTTAATATCTTATAATATTTTTTATTTGTTTTATATATAATGCACTTAAAACGTAAATGTAGTTACTATATTACATTGATTAGAATTTGATTTGTTTAAGGTAAATGTAATTGCCATTTTACATTAATTAGAATTTGAATTGTTCAAGGTAAATGTAATTGCCATATTACATTAATTAGAATTTAATTTGTTCCAGATAAATGTAATTACCATATTACATTAATTAGAATTTTATTTGTTCAAGGTAAATGTAATTGCCATATTACATTAATTAGAATTTTATTTGTTCAAGATAAACGTAATTACCATATTACATTAATTAAAATTTGATTTGTTCAAGGTAAATGAAAATCTTGTTGTATCAGCAGTTTTAAGAGTTATCAGTGAAAGGTAAAAATATGGAATTTCAATAATCGATTTCTTTATTTTTTATAAACATTAATTCCACTTGGATACCCCCCCCCCCTGAGTTTTTTTGGACAAAGGTCAAAAAGTATTGGTCCATAGCTGTTCTACATTTTTTTTACTTTTCTACAAACAATTGCCCCTCTCTTTAGGCAAAAATTAATATCACAATTAGAATCTGATTGACCCCAATAATTAATTTAGCTGGTCAGAATCTAAAGATGGTGGCTTTTTGTTTAAGAACTCTTATGACCAGGGGTGCAGAATAATACAGGAAAATGTTTAGGACTGACACAAGAAATGTTCACATCGATACATCCAAAATATTTCCCCAGTTAAACACGTACAATGCATTAGATACACCAGTGTTTAAACAGGGTAAGTTAAACACATAAAATGCATTAGATACACCAGTGTTTAAACAAGGTAAGTTAAACACGTACAATGCATTAGATACACCAGTGTTTAGACAAGGTAAGTTAAATGCATAAAATGCATTAATTAGACCAGTGTTTATACAAGGTAAGTTAAACACGTACAATGCATTAGATACACCAGTGTTTAAAAAGGGTAAGTTAAACACATAAAATGCATTAGATACACCAGTGCTTAAACAAGGTAAGTTAAACACGTACAATGCATTAGATAGACCAGTGTTAAGACAAGGTAAGTTAAACACATACAATGCATTAGATACACCAGTGTTTAAAAAGGGTAAGTTAAACACATAAAATGTATTAATTAGACCAGTGTTTAGACAAGGTAAGTTAAACATGTACAATGCATTAGATACACCAGTGCTTAAAAAGGGTAAGTTAAACACATAAAATGCATTAATTAGACCAGTGTTTAGACAAGGTAAGGACGTCAGGGTAAGTTTGAAAGGTGAGGCTGTAAGGTGAGGCCAAAAGAGAATTGTATACTCAGAAAATAAACCAGAGATACGTGAGTAAACAGATATAAACAGTATATTAATTCTCTTTTGGCCAACCACATGGGTTTAGAGTTAGAAACTTAAAAATAAATATTGTTAGAGTTATAAACTTAAAAAAAAATGCTTAATTTAATCCTGGTTTAGGTGTAGAATTTTTTAATAAATATTTATAAACATTCGTTTAGTGGTAGAAACTAATAAATACAAACTTGAAAACCTGTCCTAATAGGTAGAAAGCCTGTGTTTAGAGGTAAAAACTTATAAATAAATACTGTTAAATCTGTGGTTGGAGGTAGAAACTTATAAATAAATACGTTTAATCCTGTGTTCAGAGTTATAAACTAATAAATGAATATTATTGAAACTGTGTTTAGAAGTAGAAACTAATAAATAAAAATTATGAAACCTGTGTTAAGATGTAGAAACTAATAAATAGATATCATTAAAACTGTTTAAGAGGTAGAAACTAATAAAGAGATATTATTAAACCTGTGTTAAGAGGCAGAAACTAATAAATAAATACTATCAAACTTGGGTTTAGAGGTAGAAACTAATAAAGGGATACTTAAATACCTGGGTTTAGAGGTAAAAACTTAAAAACAAGTAACTATAAATTTGTGTTTAGATGTAAAAACAAATTAATAAATAAAATCATGGTTCCTTTCTTTTTCAGCCTATTTATTTGTGTCAGTTATTGTTAAAAAATACTTTTAAAAATGTTCTAAATTTTAGCCTCAGAAGAAAACGTTCCCTGGGAGGCTCTAACCACAACTCCTTCACGTGTACAAGGTTGAAAAATAAAAATATACATTTTTTTTTGATTGTTTTTGTTTTTAGAACCAGAGAGTAGATTAAATTATTTCAGGTGATACAGAAAGGAACAAAAATCTCTGGAATAAGAAGAAGACTTTTAGAAAAAATTTATAACTTTAAATATTCTGGACTTGAGACAAAACAGTTTTGCTGTGTAAATTCAGACCAATTAAAATAAATGAGTGCATTTATTAGTTAATTGTACACATTTTTTGTAACAATATTAAAGAAGTTGATCTTCCTATTAAATAGATTTTGGTTCTCGGCAAAAAGAAACCGAAAAAAGACTCTATTTCAACTTAACATAATTCTAATGTTATGTACCTCTATAATGGCAACCTAATAGTGTAAATCTTTGATATTTCATACTTTGACTTTAGAAGGGGTAAGTTAAGACCATTAGAGAATTTGTACTCAGAATACACAAAATTCTATATTTTACAATGAACTCAGGGACTGTGCTAAAGTTTAGTGATTGATTTTTAGAAAACTTTTGGATCTTACAGAAATCATAGTTTGAAATATCAAAGTTTTGCGGCATCAGGTCGTAATTTAGAAAGTTAGGTATATTCCTAGAGAACGATTTTTATGTTTCCTCTTAAGATACAATTATTGGATCCTTAAAGTAAATAATTCAATATTTAGCTAGTATGCGACCAATAACTAGTTTCCAACCAAAACCCAGTGTAACCAAAACCTAGTGTAACCAATAACTAGTTTGCAACCAATAACTCGTATGCACCAATACTAGTATATAGTTAAAACTTTTATGCAACCAAGAACTAGTATGCAACCAATAACTAGTTTCCAACCAAAACCTAGTGTAACCAATAACTAGTATGCAATCAATAACTAGTATGCAACCAATAACTCGTATGCAACCAATACTAGTATATAGTTAAAACTTTTATGCAACCAATAACTAGTTTCCAACCAAAACCTAGTGAAACCAATAACTAGTTTGCAACCAATAACTCGTATGCAAAAAATAACTCATATGCAACTAGTGCTAGTACATAATTAAAACTTTTATGAAACCAAGAACTAGTATGCAACCAATAACTAGTTTCCATCCAAAACCTAGTGTAACCAATAACTAGTATGCAACCAATAACTAGTTTGCAACCAAAAACTATTATGCAACCAAAAACTAGTATGTAACCAGTACTAGTATATAATTAAAACTTTCATGCAACCAAGAACTAGCATGCAACCAATAACTAGTATGCAACCAAAAACTAGTATGCAACCAAAAACTAGTATGTAAATGTAAATGTAGCCAAAGCTACTAAACTTAAATTTAGTACAAATATTCAAATCGAAAAATGTAAAACTAAATGCCTTATTTTTTCTAAAGAAAGGATTAATTATAATGAAATAACCCCAATTTTATTGAATGAATTACCTTTACCATTTGTAAACGTCTTAAATTTCGAACGAATATTAGGAAATGTTCTGCAATAGATTGCAATAAAAAACGAGCTATTTTCATTTCAAAAATTCATTCCCTTAACCAAGAATTTTATTTTAACAGTCATGATGTTATTTTGAAACTGTATAATATTTATTGTTGTAGTTTTTATGGATCTAGTATTTGGGACTTGAATTTCCAATTTGTTTCAAAATTGTATACATCATGGAATACTGCTATTAGAATTCTTTTTTATGTACCTAGAGATACGCATAGGTACTTGATTAAAAGTATTTCACAATGTTTACATGTAAAAAACTATGTTAGCTAGCAGATGTGTGACTTTCTATGAGACTATTGAAGCAAGTTCTAAGCTTTGCATTAGATTTCTTTCTAATTTATGTAAAAATGACCTTAACACAGTTCTTGGCAGAAATTTATTTTCTATTGTAAATGATTGTTCTGTAAATCCTAGGGGGAGGCAAAATTTGTTATGTAAATTCAAATCATTTGGCTTCTTGAATATCAGGCATAAGTATAAGATACTTTAAAGGTACGTAAAAAATTTGATTACCTTGAAAAAAATCTACATTTTACTATATGTTATGTTCCAACAAGTTTATCTTTCATCCAGTTTTAGTGATTTTTTAATTTAATAAACTTCAAACTTTATGTTTATACCTGTATGGTGCAGGTACAATGTCGTCTTCGTGAATACCCATTCCAAAATTCTGATCTTAATTTAAAAGCCAATCAAACTCAGATTTAAGTTTTTATAGATGTAATGATTATTAATTGACAATGTCTATGTGACCGTTTCGGGAATTTCAGCATTTTCCCTAAATACGATACCTAGATCCACAGGTATTATTTGGCTATTAAAATGATGGGGCAACATCACTTCTCCATGCACACCTCTTTAATACACTTGAGTTTCTTATATTCTGTATTTCAGGTATATCGTTACAGAGCTGAGACCCGTGAACTGAAAAACAATACATCAGTTACGGGTTGCATAAATATTAAATTAGTATTAGAATGATTTAAATAAATAAAATTAGCCAAGTTTAAATTAAAATTTGCTCCAGGTGTGCTAAGTGTGAATAAATTGTAACAAATATATATGAATTAAGGTAACACTTACAAAGTTGATTAGGCCGGAGAATTTAATAGCTCTAGAGTTGGATGATCGTTACCAGCTGTCTCTTATACATAACTAGAAATAATAAGATGAGTTTATATGAAGGCTTATCATGTGTTAGAGGATTTTCGTCTTTAATTGTTCACAAAGATCACACAAAACTTGATTATATACCTTTATCTGATTAATAGCAGCAGTCCTGGTTTAGAGAAGCAGAGGAGATGCTTCCGACAGGACTTCTCCAATAGGGAGGTAGTGAAGATGATGATTGGATCCGAATAAGGTTGAGTTAAACATCAGATCTTAATCTCGAGGACAATGATGAGATCTAAATAAGATTAAGTTAGACATTAGATCTCATCTTGAGAGCAGCTTCATATTTAATCTTCATCTTTTTCTGCTTAATAGCAGCAGTCCCGGTTTAGAGGAACAGAGGTGCTTCCGACGGGACTCCTCCAAGAGGAGGTGAGGATATTGATGGGATCTAAATAAGATTAGGTTAACATTAGATCTCATCTTGGGAGCAGTTTCATATTCAATCTTCACCTTTATCTGATCAAGAGCAGCAGTCCCGGTTTAGAGAAACATAGCTTCCGACGGACTTCTCCGAGTAGGTGAGGATATTGGTGCTCAGCAGGGAGTTACTCTGCAGGCGGTCCAGCTCAGCTCGACAGGCTTATCATGCTTCCATCTGAAAACAGGCAGTCCGCAGAACGTGTAGATGAACAGACTCTCGTTAAACTGAAGCAGTCATTCTTGTCCAGGAGTACGGCGAGGATATATCAGAGGAGAACTTGGTCTAAGAGATAAGGGAGTAATTAGTTACGGATAAGCTTCAAAAGTTCTGAATTATCTAGGAATGTATTTTCACCTGTTAATTCATTAGTTCATAGTTGAGGACAGGTGATGGAATACAAAAACGATCTGGATTCACTTTAAAAGCTTTTCCAATTAAGTATGAATAAGATTCATAAGATAGTAATGTTTATAATTTTTAACTGTGATTTCTCAGCAATGACTTGCAAAATTTCTACTGCAGTAAAAAATATATGAATTATCAGAATCAAACACTTGTCTTAAACCTAGAAAAACGATAATACATTTTTAATCAGATAAGGTTTTGCCATTTGGAAAGCGACAATTCTCGGCCATCACAAATCTATTGCAAGGGAAATTTAAACTTTTAAACATACAATTTTAACTTTTTCTCTGACTCTTTTAACAATTGTTGCCAGTGAATACTTTTAATGAATAAGTATAATAATGAAAAAATGTATGAAAATACATCTAGCCATGGTAGGTTATAGTCACTCAACGGTGATGTAAGGTCACTTAATTTACGTCAGCGGTCCATTTAAAAGAGTTTTCCTACCCTACCCTACCCTACCCTACCCTACCCTACCCTACCCTACCCTACCCTACCCTACCCGATCGTCTATCCCAGCTATCCAAATTGCGTAAGCAACGTAAACGCATAATATTTTGGCTCCAATTACGCAATTAAAACGCAAATTTGCGTAAGTCTAGATTTCAAATTAGTAAATATTTATAACCCAGCTTTAAGTAAAAATATCAAGAATTTTGTGTCATTTTTTTTCAGGTATACAAATAANCCCTACCCTACCCTACCCTACCCTACCCTACCCTACCCTACCCTACCCTACCCTACCCTACCCTACCCTACCCTACCCTACCCTACCCTATCCTCCTTAACAGCTTTATGTCCCTACAGCCCTCTTTACCTTCTGTCTTGTTAACAGAGAATTAAGTTGATATTTCATCTCGTTCAAAGCGTATATAAAATAGAGTGTACGTTTAATTAAAACTAAATATTCAATAACTTAAAATATTCTTACAAAAGTTAAATTAAAGATCTTAAAAATTCTCTATTGAAAAAGAAATGGAAATGAGCGGATTAATTAATCTTGTGTGATTCTCCAGTAATTAACTGAACACTCTGTATATAATTAATCCTCCCTGGTTCTCTTGGTATAATGGTATAGGGTTCATGACTATACAGTCTACTAAGTAAACTCTTTAATTAATCAGAAAAATGAAGAATCATTCTTAGCTTCTGGTCTTCTACTAACCAAACCAAACCAGCTATATGCTAACCAAACCATACCAGCTGTTTATTAAACCAAACCATACAAAATATATACTAAACAAGCCAAACCAGCTGTATATGAACCAAACCAAACCAGTTGTATACTAACCAAATCATATCAGTTGTATACTATCCATTCCAGCTGAATACTACCCAAACCAAACCAGCTGAATACTACCCAAACCAAACCAGCTGAATACTACCCAAACCAAACCAGCTTTACCAATCAAGGCATACCAATTATATTCCAGCCAAGCCATATCTTTTTCATTTTGTTATTATTTTTTTTGTGGCAACTCATATGACCCAAGCGAAGGGTTATGGACCGTCAAAGTTGAAAAATTTAGACTGGAAAAAAGGTCCATATATTTGTGATTTTGTTTTGAAGAGCAGCAGTTTAACGCGAAGCGTCCAAAAAGCTTAGTTTTACAACAACAAAAAGGATGAAGTTAACGTTGAATAAGTGAATTGGATTAATCTGATAAATACTTAACTCTATTCCTGTAGTTTTTTTTTACATAATTCAAAAGTATTT